TCTCTGTAAGAGGAGCCCAATCTCTGGGCCCATCAGGCCTCCAGCTCCAGGGCTGAAGGAATGGAGAGTGGGGAGCACTGCGCCCGAAACTCTCAGCCTTTCACCGCAGTGAATAGGGGAGGTTTCACAGAAGTCACAAGGTCCCAGGCTGAAAGAAAGATTACATCACCAGAAACAAAACGGAGTGGAAAATACCATTTAACCTGTTTTGACCCACGAGGTGGCGATTTTATGTGGTTCGCTAACACTTATGAAAGCTGAGAACCTGGGGTTACTTTACACCAAAAACAACAGGTTGCTTGATTACAAACAGAAGAAAAGTCAGAACAAAATCATCCCTGAAGAAGATACTTTTATCAAGAGTAGTTCATCATCTCTTAAAACTCCAATGACATACTCTCAATCAGCAGAAAGGATGACAACTAAATTGTGGTGTATTTATACAATAGAATAGTGCATTGCAATGAAAAAGAACTGAGGTTGCAAGCAACAATCTAGATGAATCTCACAGACAATACCGAGCAAACAAAACCACATCAAAAGAGTACATACTATATAATTCCATTTATATGTAGTTCCAAATTAGGAAAAACTGATGCATGGTATTAGAAGCCAGAATAGGGGTCATCTCTAAGTGACCTCAGAGGAGGTCCCAGGGTGAGTGTGGGAGACATCCCACCTCTTGTTCTGGGAGTGGTTGCATACATACCGATTCATCAGGCTAGCCATTTAAGACTGGTTAGCCTTAATAGATGGGAGTTACACCTTGATTTTTAAAAATGGTTCATAAAAAAGTAGTATCTTTGAAAACAGATTGCCCACTGTCTGCCTTATAATAGATAAACTATTAATTTATCATCTCTAAATTCAACAGTCCCCCACTATAGTTTCTCAACAGTAAGCTACAAAACAAGAGATGGACAGATTCTGCTATTGTAACTCAGGAACTGAGAAACACAGCTGTATTTCAGGGTTCCTAAAAATGCCACAGTCCCAGCTAGGAGTACCTCGTTGTTGCTCTGTCAGTAATACTGATTTGTCACAATGTGACATGGTTGGTTTTTGGTCAGAAACTACTGGCTGGTCTTTTGTACAGTTAGAAACATACAGGGCATTCTGTAATGCCAGAAAGCAATGCTGGGGGTTAAAACCAGCATTAAGTGCTGTCTAAAACGAGGCTGCGTGTACCAGAGAACATACTTCCCCACAGTTTTCCGTTTAGGATGAACACAGAACCACGCACCCGAGGTCCCTCCAGCCGGTGGCTCTGCCTCTCGGGCTGCATCCCACACAGTGTTCCCGTGGTCAGTCGGCTCCTGCTCCCCTTCACTTCTCGGTCCCTCACAGGCCCCTCCCCAGGCAAGGCCCCTCTTTGCACTGGCCCCTTGTTTGGCGAGTTCTTCCCTCCCTTCTCTGTCAGACCCATTTGCACTCATCCTTCCGTTCAACCATCCCTTGTTCAGGAAACCTTTTCTGGGAGGCTCTGGAAAGCACTGGCCATGGCTGCTGTCTTCCCTCTGCTGGCAGGATGGCCTCCCCCAACCCTGAAAGTACACGGCCCAGTACGGGGAGGGGGGTGCGGTGGCTGCTTCTGCTCACTGCTCTGCTCACGAAAAGGCGTCCAGAGGGTGGCAAAGGGAAGAGAATAACTGAGAGGAGAAAAACAACACTAGATCTGGATGCTGAGGACTGAGAAGCAAATCATACCAGGACGGCACAAAAAATAGACAACTGGTGATGCTGAAAACAAGCTTTAATTGTGGAGGGGCTTCTACCATTGCAGGACAGGCAGGGGCTCTGTGCACAGGCATCTCCACCCCACAGGGCCAAACTCCGACCTCAAGGAAGCTTTGGTCTCAGTGTTTTTAAACATTTGCCTTTGCTCCAAAGGAGCTTCATTATGCAGTGACTCATCAATCATTTCTTATATCGTGTACAAAAAAATGGGTAGTAAGACATCATTAGTTAACATAATCTTACATGGCTTCTGACAGCACTTTGCTACTCATTCAATGAGCTAGGTGTCGTCTTTTCTGTTTTGAAAACAATGTTAGAGTGAAGTATGACCCTTCCAGACCGAAGTTCATAGACTTGCCCAGGGTACAGACTTAACGCTGACTTGAGTACACTACCAGATCATACTACTGCTGTCAAGTGAGACCTTCCTGCCGAGCTGTACGGCCTCAGTCAGCACTTGGTCCCTGCGGCCATGCTGCAGCTTCCCAGCGGCTGAGAACATGGGCGTGGGCGTGGGCCCCTCTGCTCTGAACCTTGACTACCTATAAATAGCTGTGATCTTAACGAAGTTATTGCATTTCGTTGTGCTGGGATTTCTTCTCTATAAAATGGGATAATAAACTGCGTACGTCATGTTATTGGTGCAAGGAACAAAGTGGTGATCACACGTGCAGTTGCTGAGAAGAGTGGTGCTGGTTTGTACGATAGAGAGCAGCCTGCATTAATGATGTGTCATCGCTGACTTCAATACTACATTCGGGTCCCACGGAGATACTCCATGAAATAATATAAATGGAAAAATACTTAGAATTGTTCAATTTAGATTTCCAAGGTAAATTTAACACTAAGTAATTAAGTCTACATTCAAGAACCAATATTTTGTTCTAGTTTTAGTGTAATAAACTGTCTTCTTTAAAAAAGACATGGAGAGGCACAAAAACCTTTTCTGACTTGATTTCATTTTAAACAGCATGTATAGCATACACACCCTCCTTATGTTAGTTCTGCAGTCGGCAGTCACACCAGGAGATCATATTCACATTACATTAAATCGTGACCAATAAGTCAGAAGTAGGTAAGATACTATATAGGAAGTGATTTCAAAACACTTCATTGCTTCAGTTCTCAAATTTTTTAAAAAACCAGTTTCTTCTATATTTATAGTTATTTTAAAGCTGAAAAAAGAAACCCCACATTTCCATCAGCACTCTCACCACAAATAACTAGGGTTTTCTGTTAACCAGGCGAACAGGGGCTTCTTCAGCATCGATAAATAGTGAGGGAATAGTGTGGGGGGGGCGTGGCATGTGTTCAGCTAAATTCTCTTCATAAAGCTCCAGCCATCCAAATCGGAGTTTTGTATACGGCGACGAAATGCTGGGCACAGGGTGCTAAAACTACCATTTTAACTAGTCAAAAAATGACTATTTTCCATTTCTTTTGGGAAATGGAAAGACTATTTTGAAAAGCTACTTGGTCAATTATTTATAAAAACTTGTTCATGTGAGGCTTGAATTTTCTCAAATTCCTATTTGAAACTTTAACAAACTAGAGATTCACTGCCAAATTGTCTATCTCAAGGTAGTCAGCGTGCAGAGTTAGATTGATATGTATATTGCCATTAAATTATGGGAAGGGAGTTGAAGCAAGAGGACTGTGTTTACTATTTGATCAAGTATCTCTCCTTAAACTTCCGATTCTGCATATCACAAAAAAACCCAGGAGGTCCACAGTGCATTGCTGACTAGTCGGTCAGAACATTCACTTTCTAATACTATCATACTTGTATTCTCTCTCCAGGATGATGGTTACACTTTGGGGAAATTATTTTAATTTTACTTCTAACTCATTATCTAATAACCTTCATTTGACAGACTCTAACTATGTAAAGGCCACTGTTCTCAAATGTGGAGGTGGTGGTAGTGTACTTTTGCGCTGCAGGGGACATTTGACAAAGTCTGAAGACAGTTTTGGTTGTCACCCTGAGTTGAGGGAGGGTACTGATCTGGGCATCTAGTGGATAGAGGCCAGGGTTGCTGCTAAACATTCTACAACACACAGGATGAGCCCCAACAACAACTATCATTAATTCAATGTTACTAGTGCCAAGGCTGAGAGACACCTGCTGCAAGACAAGAGGATGGTATGGTATTTTAAAGTAGCTTTCAAATTTCTCATGGTCTTTTAAGATGAGAATAGCATTTGCAAGAAGTCACATTTAAAAAAATCTAATGCCAGTTTCAGTTGCCTCTTAGATCCTGTAACTAGTAGTCTATGCTTCCTGTCACCAATGAAATATCACAGCAATGTTATGACTGAACAAAACTGGCTCCATATTTTGTTCATGGAACATGAACTAGAATAGTATAAAATTGGGATCATAAATATTTGGAAAGGAACTTAGTTTTACAATTTAAAAATTCACAGAAAAATGGTCTGTTAGGTACGGCAATGACTTAAAGTGAAAAATTCTGGCCTTATTTTGACACTGGTGTTAGAATTAGGCATTTCCTTTTCCTCTGTTCTTCATCTTAATACTGGATTACCACAGGCCCTGTTTGCAGAAATGTTACACATACAGAATCAAACGCTTGGAACATGGCCTAGAAAATCATTCTAATGTTGTGTAAGATCATTTTAAAAGATTAATATCCATCGTTATTTTTTTTAAATAAAGAAGGCAAGTAGACTTTCTTACCTGGGGTCTGAATACCCATTTTTTGCACTTGGCACAGTACATAACAAAGTGACCTGTTAAAAATAGAAACTCAAAACGCCCTACTGACGTTTTGATAAAAGCACAAACACAAATAAGCAGTATAAAACTGATATAGAGATGTATTCTTTTGGTTAGCTCTGATTTTTATGAACACTAGAAAATTAGATCCTGAAACATTATAATGTCTAACTACCTACCTAATGTTTTGAAATAGAATTTAACAATGTGTGTGAGACTGTACATTTGTAGGGCCAGTAATCTGTGTGTTAGAAGTCCTTTCACTGGATTCCACAGCAAGTGCTTACTGATTAATAGGCTACAAAAGGAAAGGGGGCCGATTTCCCACCCCCAGCACAGGTTCCCCGAGCACCTCCGTCCCTGCAGGGTCCCTGGCGACTGGTTGAGCGCCCCGCGCGGAGCCCGCATCTACCGTTACCGCGGCCTTGGCTGTTGGGACCCTGGCCCTCCCGGCACCCGCTGCAAGCTGCCAGGCAGACCTGGGCCGCCCCTGCCAGCCTAGAAGCCAGCCCTTGCCGGCACTCACCGGTCACGCGAATGGACTCCAGCATCGTCCCACCGACGCTGCGGGCGGTGGGCTCCGCGGGCGCCGGGGTCAAGAGCCGGGAGGGCGGCCTCCAGCCTCCGGCCGGGGCCTGAGAGACGAAGGCTCTGGGGACGGTGCTGTCAGCGACCTGGGGCTGGATAAGGCGGGTAAGGACAGACGAAGTACGACAGATCACGGTGAGCAGCGCTCGCTCCCGCAGGCAGGAGACTGAAGGTGCACTCCGCAGCCCTACTGAGGGTAGCAGCGTTCAGAACCCGCGGCTGTGACGTTGCCGCTCCCCTGTTGCTAGGAAACGCTCCTCGCGTCCGTAGGCGCTGCGCCTACCGGAGCTCGAGAGCCGCTAGGGGCGCTCGCGCGTCGGGGCTAGGCTCACAGAAAGAGAGGTGGGGACTGCAACTCCCGGCGTGCACAGCGCAGGCCGGTCCCTCGAGGACTTCTGGGCGGGGCCCCGGAATCCTTGGGGGTCTCCAGCGATTTTCGCATTTTGACTGATAATCTACATCCGTTTGTGCGCTGTTCAAGGGTACTACACTGGGCAGTCCCTTCGCAAGAGAGAGGTGTCGTGGTAGGAATCTCAGCCCCAGCTGCGAACTGCAGAGCCGGTCTCCGCTGTCGTTTAGTTAATGTAGAAGGTGCACGGAAGCCAAAACAACTTGAGGTTGAACTGGTGATAACGCCTTCCTTAGTTGAGGAAGCTCAAGTACATTTACCATTTGTGTACCCCACCATAATATCCTTAATACTAAAATACACATTTTAATTAGTGACTGTGTGACTGATCGGGCTGACTTGCTTTTCAGTTGATTATTCCGTGGGAAATGTAGAGACATAATCTCAGGAAGCTTCTAGTCTAGAAGGAGCTCATAACACAGCTTTGGTGCTGTCAGTTTCGAAGCCACATTTTCTTTTTACCCTTCCTGGAGGTTGAGATCGTAATGTAGGAGAGGGGCCCAAGAGCGAACCATCTTGGCTCGGAGCTCCAGTCTTCCCTCCCCAGGCACTCAGAAATAGCTGGCATGTGTTTTCGAAATCAGGAACGAAGAAAGCTCAAGTTATGTCAGCATATCACTCGGAGAATGACAGCACGTGAGAATCTGTATCTTTCATAAATTAGGAGAAAACAGTGGAAATTTATCACAAGTAGTGGATTAACCCACATCTTATTCTGTCAGAAAAATCTTAGGAATACTATCTTCAAAATATGTATATTTGGAATCCAGCCACTTCTCATTATCACCATTCTGGTTCAACCCAGCACCATTTTTTATCTGGATTATAGTTAGAGCCTCCTACGTCAGTTATGCCAACTCCAAGCACTGTTTCAATTTATGGCTTTTGCTAGTTGGGATTTCCCCTGCATAGAACTTTGTTGTCCCAGATTCTTGGGACAGGAGCTCCTTCACTTCTTTTAGACTTAATCCCAATGCCATGTCTCAGTGAGGCCTTTCCTGGCCACTCAATTTAAAGTTCCACTCCTTGCTCATAGTTCCTATCCCCTTCTCTGCTTCATTTTTTTCGCCTTTAACACTTAACTTCATCCAATTTATTATATATTTTGCTGATTTGTCTTACTGTCTGTCTCTGCCCCTAGAATAAAATCTGTCCAAGTGCAATGATTTTGTGTGTCCACTGCTATATTTTCAGCATCTAGAATAGTGCCTGGCACACAGTAGGTACTAAATAAATTATTTGTAAGTTAACAAGTAGACAATTGAAAAGATGCATTTTCAATGGTAACTCAGAGAAAATAGAATGATATAAAATGGGTGTGCAGTTAAAGAAAAACTGTTCAGGTTAAAGCATTTGACAGAGTAATGAGCAATGAATCCTTCGCATTCATAAAAACAGTTATTCTTGCAATCTGTCCTAAGGAAGAAGGCTGTGAATGAACCTTATATATCAAGCTTGCTGATATGCCTCCCTTAGCTTCCTTATATACCTCCAACTCAGAAACCCACTTTCCAAGTTCGCTATAAATGGATTTATGCACTCCCACACATTGCTACTTTTTAAAGTTAATGTTTCTCAAAAAAAAATAGACTCCTAATTTTTTTCTGAACCATATGTCAGCATCTATGTAAAAAATGTACTCTGAATGCTTTTACTAGAGCGTGCTTAATCAGACTGTCCACTTTCATTATATTTTGAAGAAACCAAGATGTATTATTTTATTCATTCCTTTTATTTATATACAAAGCACTGGGATTTGTACATAAAAGACACAATACCTATTCTCAAGACTAGTAGAGGAGGTTTTATACACACACAATGATGTATACCTCCTTCTTCAACATTCATTAAACCTGAGAATTCCAAAAATAAACAGTCTGATGCCCCTGTCATTTGCCCACCTAGAATATTATTTCATTCTTTACTTTCAAAATTATGTTTATGTTCACCCTACCAATATTTTCTTGTGGGTCACTTTGACTTCTACATATCTTTACTGATAAGTATTACATAAAGATGTATACCAATTTAATCGAAGCATTTTAAAAAGGCATTTTTCCTGTACTATTTGGCAGTGAAGTACTGTTGCTAAAAAAATTAGTGGATACAAAGGGTTGATCTAATTTCTTACAAAACTAGTACTGTTATCAACTCCTTTTACTGTTCCTGCCCATGCAATTATTTATCCTCATCAAGCTCCATGCATCTGCTCGGTTAATTACGGAGTGGTGCTGTGCCTGCTCAGTATTTCCATGAGCGCAGCAGCTGCAGCTGTCCACTCGGCTGCTTTTGAGTCCAATTGTCCCTGCCTGCCTGCCCGCCAGAACAATGAACAATTCCCTCTTTCTGAGAAACTCTCCTTTATACCTGTTTCCATATAAGCCATTAACATCAAGTCAAAAGAATTGATGTGACTATCTGTTTTCAAAGAACTGACTGCAAAATAAAGTTAAAAACGTATTAAAACTGACTTTCACAAGTTGTGTTTAAGGATGCACCTTCTTCCCTCTCTAAAGTTTTCCTGAACTCAAGGTCTGACAATAGCCAAGAGCACCATCATAGGTATCCTACTGCAACCCAGTACTTCCCTTTCCTGGTCAGTTTTAGGTGCACTACCAACATTACTGTGGATTATTTTGATTTCTGAATACCTTTCATGATGATTTTCATTCAACTTAAATACAAAAATAATGAGAAAATGGTTATTTTAATAGAAATATTATTCTTTTACATGTGGTTGGATTTTTATGTTATGAATAAACAGCATCAAGTTTTCTTATTTTATCAGTAACTTTGTTTAGTTAACTCAGATGTTAATCTGTATATTTCATGTATATGTTACATGGCAAACTATTCATAGTCAATGGAGTTTGGGGATAATACAAATATGGTCCAAACATCTCTGTAATAAGAAAGGATTTGACTTTATTTTTTAGAAAAAAAGACCAACATCCTCCTTTTGAAAGACTTAGAACACATTTGATCATTTACTGTCAATGAGGGTGGGGGTGGGGTGGGTAAAAAAGACCAAGAAAGAGGAAGAGAGCGATGGTGAAGGCTGGAGAAGGCTGCTGCTGAGCTAGCAATGGCGGGGAGACAACAATGGTGAGATTTCACGTTCTTCGGCAAAAGTTCAAGTTGTTGAGAACCAACAAGCATATCATTTGCTGGAAACAGAAAAAGTTCGATTTCTTAAGGAGAAGTTAGTTTAGTTACTTAAAAAATTAGAACAGTAAAACAATATTTACTTTTAAATTTCAGATGAGAATTTAAAAGAATGGAAAGAGGAGAAGTGTCAAGAAAACACTTTCTTTCCTGTTCTATTGGAATCAATTTATAACATTCTATGCCATTGGAAATATATGAATTGAGCTGTTATGCAAGAACAGACTCTGGTTGCAACCCCTAGACTCTCACAAGCATTAATAGAAGCCTTGGGCAAGTTGGAAACAACGTTCCTTTACTTAGACAAAAATCCAGGGAATAGCTGGTTTTGTGACTTTTTTTTTTAAAGAAACGGTCATCGAAGCTGGAGAGCTTTCAGGATGTTGGTACTGAGATGGAATGTTTTCAGTTTGTCTCTTCCAGGAGGATGAAAGTATTAAGAGGAAGCCCAATAAAAGAATGCTTTGTGAGACCACCTCCACCTTTGCCCTTCAGTGAAAATGGTTAGAACAGCACGAAAATCCTGGGACACACTGATATTTTCTATTTTATGTATTTATTTTTTGGAGAGAGGGTAAGGGAGGGAGAAAGAAGGGGAGAGAAACTCGAGTTGGTTGCCTCTCATCTGTGCCTGCTCGGGGGCTGCACTGCAACCCAGACTTGTGCCCTGACCTGGAATCAACTGGCGACCTTTTGCTTTGCAGGACAATGCCCAAGTAACTAAGCCACACTAGTTAGGGTGACACTGACTTTTAAAAAATACGACATTTTGTTGTAAATGGTTGGAGGTGGACAGGTATTTTTGAATCAGACAAAAACTACTGCCCATCTTCATAATATTTGGAGGAAAACAATATGCACATTGCTCCACAGATATTTATTAAGTGTCTACTACGCACAAGACAAAACATGATGACAAAGGCACAACCCTGTGCCCATGAGTTACCAGTAGTGCACACGCACCTATGTGAACGTGAAGGACGTGCACCAACCAGAGCTTGAGCACTTACGGCAGGGGTGCCCTGGTGAGTAAGTCAGGTGGTTCCCCTGGAATGTTTGTGACAGTGGGCGACGAAAACAGAAACCTGCTGAACACGTGATGTAACTGCAGATACAGACAGGTGCGATGAAGTGCATACCTCAGGGAAGTATGCCAGGTGGAGACCTGGGTAAGTGGGGGTCAGGAAATGCCTCTCTGAGGACAAGTAACTTTTGAGCTGAGTGTTGAAGGGTAAGAGTCAGCCACAGGCAATTTGGGGGCAAAAGCATTTTGGGTAGTGGGAACTGCGAAGCCAAAGCCCTGCGAGGGGACCGGTCTTGATGTGACCCTGGGGCCTCTAAAGGCCAGCACTGGAGTCCAGAGCACTGGGGAAAGAGGCAGGAGTGAGGTCTCAGAGGCAGGCAGGGGCCGGGGAAAGGAGTTTGGATTTCATTCTAAGAGCAACCAGAGCCACTGGTGGATTTTAAACAGGGCAGTGACATAATTTTTTTTTTTTTTTAAGGACAGTGCATATGAGGGTGGAGCAGAATCAGGGAAACCAGAAAGGAGACAGTTGCAGTGGGCCCCGGGATGATGGCTTGGAGAGAAACGAAGCTGTGAGAGGGAGAGGGAGAAGGCTCAGGACAGATTTGGAGGCAGTGCTGAC